CCTTCTCTTTTTATTGGTTTAAACTAGGTTTTTTTTTTTTTTTGTCCCTTCATTGCATGGATTATTTTTTAGTTCTTCATATTATATTTTGCATTCTACATTATTTTTTTATCAACTCTCAAATTTTATAATATTTTTTTTTATTAAAATATTTAAATTAAGTAATTAAGGTTGAGTTTAAAATTATTTTTAATAGTTGATGACAGTATTTTTTTTCAAAGATTATATAAAATCATATTTAAAACAAGAATATTAATAAAATTCATAAAACATTCATTATTAATTTTCATCTCATAATCGAAAAGAATTTGTTCTTTTTTTTTTTTTACTTTTATCTCTATTAATAATTCATACGATATTTTCTTTTCTCTAAATAATAGAATTAAAGTTATACAAGAATATAATTAAAATTTTTCAAATATTTGATTTCAATTGCTTTAGAATTATAATCAAATAACAAATGAAACTAAATATTGTTTTTATTAATTTATTTTCTAGTTATTTTAGTCCTTGCGTATATGGGATTTGATTTTTTAAATTTTATATTTATATTATGTGACTTTTTTTTATAAATTTTTATGATAAAGTTATTTTAAAGAAATGCCAATTGTATTTTTTAATTAAATTAGAAGACAAAAATGTTAGAGTGTTTTGTATTATGTATTAGAAAATATATTTTTGAATCTACATTACACTAAAATATGTTTTTTCACCTTAAGGTGATTTTGTATTTTTATAGCTCAAACTGCACTTTCTGTAGTCTATTTCAATTTGAAAAATTAAACTCTCATATATTATAAATTTGGGTTTTAAAATTCTTTCAATTATTCAAAGTTTGATACTATTTTGATTTTATAACATTAAATCTTTTCTTCTTCTTTTTTTCTTTTTCCAATTTTTTAGTGATTCATATTAAACCTTGGAATATATTTAGTTGCAATAGTCATTCTTATTTTACTAAAACTTGAAGTCTTATTTATTTATTTATCTATTTATTTTTGAGATACACAATGGATTCAACTTTTTATCATCTATTTTACTTAGATTACGTTAGGTTGCTTAAATAATTGGTTTTGAAATCTCATTGAGATTAGTCATATTAATTCTATTTTAGTCTCTTGTAGAGAATTTAAGTAGTCGATACTTGTTTCTTCATTTTCTTTTTGTTGGATAAATTTTATTTTCATTTTTTAATATTTAAATGGTTTTGCCTCTTCATCTATCAAGAAAAATTAATTCATATGGTAATGCAAATGGAAGCGTTATTCAGACGGCTTTGTGTCTTCAAATATTGAAAGAAATTAATTAGCATGTTGCACAAAACAAAAAAGTTAGATGAATAATTTCTTCATCTATATTATGGTTTTTAGTTTTTATAATATTTTTTTATAAATGCATACACCCAATTAATACATAAGGTAGCATTTTTTTATATATTTTAAATTGGTCTTATCTCTTCATTTACCAAGAGAAAATTAATTCATATTACAATGCAAAGGGAAACATTATTTAAATAACCTTGCCTCTTTATATATCAAGAGAAGTTAATTAATATGCTGGGAAAAAAAAAAAGGTTTGACAAACCAATCTCTTCCCATGTATGTTTTTAGTTTTTATTATATTTTATGTAAATATATATTTTAAACGGTCTAATCTCTTTATCTATCAGGAGAAATTAATGCATATGGTAATACAAAAGAAAACACTATTTAAATGGTATTGCCTTTTCCCATACCAAGAGAAATTAATAGCATGTTGCAAAAAAAAAAAAAAAAATGATTACATGGGCATAAATCCTTGAAATGCCCCTTAACTCACTAACTTTGGAAGAGTTTACCCCTGAATTTATAAGTGCAGGATTTATAACCTTGAACTCAAAAGTGTAAGGATTTATAACCTTGAACTTAAAGGTATAAGGATTTATAATCTTAAGTTAACGAAAGATGTTAAGTCTCAGTTAAAAGAAAAACTAAGTAGTTAGTCCTCAAAGAATACAAAAGCGATTAGTAAAGTCCCAATAAATTCTAATGGCAGATATAGCCTCATATACAAAAGCCATAATAAGCATTTGCAACCAAATTGAGCAAGTGGTTCATTCTGAAGAAGAAATTCTAGCCGAGATCAAAGAAAACCTTTTAATTGAGTTGAGGCAAAGAATCCAAGAAAAAGAAAGAATAAAATCAATAATACAACTATATAATAAACAAATTAGATTTAGAGAACAAAGAATTAAAAAATTAGGAGAAGTTGTTGGAATACTGAATTTATAATGAATAAGGAACAAATAGATTGGATTAACATGAATCTACTTAATACATTAGGTAGAAACATAATCCATACAAAAGATATTATTATTATTGATAAAATTCTTGAGATGGAAACTATCAATGAAAATATTCTAAGAAAAATTAGAGAAATGGGAAAATCCCTTTCTCTAGAATTTGATTCTATCAAAGAAAAAATAAATAAATAAAAAATTCTAGAGATCTAAAAGTAATAAAAGAAGAAATACAATCTATCAAAGACTTAAAAACTTTGATATCTCGAGTTAAAGATATATAACTTAAAAGTAGAAAAAATTCTTAAGATATTAAAAGCGATTGCTGGAAAATTTGCAATAAAAACTTAGAGATGTATAATAGAATAAATCCACAACTAGAAAGTGATATAGATAAAAAAAATTTTATAAGATCTAGACATAGCTCAAGGATCTGCAAGATACTATAATATCAGTCTGTAGTAGGCGTAATATTATAGATAGAAACAAAGGATTTAAAATAATTCCTAAAATTTTCACTGAAAAGCCTAAATCAAAAGGAATAATACTTTTTGTGTTAAAGACCCAAGAGGAAAGATTAAAAGAACTTGAACAAAAGTGTTTAGAAGAAGAAAATGTAGAAGAATTAGACAATCTGTGCAAACAAATTACTCTAACTACTAAAGAATTAGAAAACATGAAAATGAATACTCAAAAAGAAGAAATTGAAGAAGAAAGCGAAGAAGGATGAAACATACCCTAATATAACCCCAACAAAATTTCTAGTGCAACCTGGTATAGAATCTAGCATAAGCCAAAGCTATAAAAGGAATAGGAATTTAACACATGAAGTAATTTATGATAAAAAGAGTAGAAAATTTGGAAATCAATCTAAAATTGAAACTTTAGTTAGAGTCAAAAAATAAATGATTAGTACTAATGATATCTGGTTAGGTCTAGATTGCATTACCAACCTAGAAAAAGTCATTAGTGACTAGGCTCAAGCTACTTGGATAGCCATAGCAAACAAAAACTGAAATGCCTTACAAGTAGTTAGATTTATTGAAGTCACATTTAAAGGAATAGTTCACGGCTGGTTTGCCAATCTAAAAGAAGATGAAATAAACACTATAATAAGTGGAAATCCTACTTCTGAAGAAGTTAATGAAAATGAAGCAATTCAAGACATAATAAATAAATTTGAATCAACCATAAGGAGAGAATTTTTAAGTGAAAATTGGGAAGAAAATCAAGAAAAAGATTTGGCTATAATTGGAAGAATAGCAGTATGGAATTTGCAAAATTTAGAACTATGTAATCTTTTTGAATTAGATCAATACATTTGCCTATTCTAGAAATACTACTATAAGGCTTCAAATCATAGAATGACTAAAGGCTTACTAGAATTGTTCTTTGGAAAAATTCCTAATCCTTGGGGAATAAATTTGGTAGAAGCCTAGAGAATATATATAGAAAATAAGAAAGATACTTTAGAACTAAGGATTTGGTTCACTAAAACCAAGATTAATGAATGGTGCATAAAAACCTATAGTCAAACGAACTAAGAAAAAGTATGAAGAAAGGACTCTATTGCCCTAAGAATAGTGATCCAATCAAATTAGAATGTAGTTACACCAACTACAACAAGAGAAACAAAAAATTTAGAATTAAAAGAAGTAATAAACAAAGATTTAATAAAAACAAATTCTCTAGAAAGAAAAAGAGGTATTTCAAGAAGACCAAAACTCCAAGAAAATATAAAAAGAATCCTAAAAAATGCACATGTTGGTTGTGTAAGGAGGAAGGACATTATGCAAATGAATGTCTTAAAAGATACAAAAGAGAAAGTACAAAAAACCTAAAAATTTATGAAGAAGAATTAAGTAAAATAGATACTAGCTCTATAAGTTGCGAAGAAAGTATATAAGAAATTGAAAGTTATACACTTCCAGTAGTGATGAATTCGAATATTGAAGAAGAATAAGCTCATTCTGAATAATATGAAGGACATGGAGAATATAGTCAAATAACTATATTCGATAAATGTAAATATAAAAGAATTAGACAACAAGGAATGGACCTTGCTTTAGAAAAGGGACTCAAGTCCAATTTCTTTATAAGTAATCCTTTTAAAAGAAAAGATATAGTTTATTATGGAATATCCACGAAAGAATATAGTATCCTATAAGAAATACAATAGGAATAATAAATATACCTTTAATTATCGGCAAAAATATGACATAAGGACCCAAACTTACACCAAATTTGCAATTTCGGACCCAAACTTCGATCGCGCTCAATGAAAGTCCCGAACTCCACTAAATTCTCAAATAAGGTCCCAATTTGACGGAAAACTAACTTCCGTCAAATCTCCTATTATTCCGTTAATGTTCCGTCACATTTCACACCCGCCACTTGAAAAAAATTGGTTAAATGCTAATTTTGGTCCCTCAATTTCATTGAGTTTCACTTTTTTGTCCCTCAACTTTATTAAATTTCACTTTTTTGTCCCTCAACTTTATTAAATTTCACTTTTTTGTCCCTCAACTTTATTAAATTTCACTTTTTTGTCCCTCAACTTTATTGAATTGTACTCTTTTGGTTCATAAACTATTTTTTGTACTTTTTTGGTCCTTAAATTATTTTTTACACTTTTTTAATCTCTTAATTTTAATAACTGCACAATTTTGATACTTTCATCAGTTTAAGCCATTAACTTCATCCACTTTGTCACGCCCCAAACCGAGAGCGAAACAAACGCCGTGCACTCGTGAGCGGGGCCCACAAATGCACAAGGCTCGAGACCTATTGAGTTCTTACTTAGCAATTCAGGTAATTCAAATCTAAGCCTTTTTACTTTACCAAATAGTTACCAGTGAATGTACAAAATTATCACTTTATATACACAATCATGACTAACACTAAATCCTGTACACAAAATTTTCTATGTCAAGCATGGGTGACTAACGGCTTAGCTACAAAAACCTAAGTCCAAAAGTGCCTAGCCGCCTAGCTCGTCACTCTCCCGGGCTTCCCACGCGTC